TACAGAGCTGCATTAGGAACAAGTGACATTGGGGACATCCTTGATGTGCACTTCAGTCTCAAAAAGCAAGCACCGGGGAGATTCAGCTATGGATTCAAGCTATAGTGCTAGGAAGCAACAGAGTTAACTATCTATTCTAACACCCTTTCCATAGTTGAAAGCAGGGATAACAACCTTTAGGTGGGACCTGGGGATCCCCCAGAATTACAGATCATTTCTAAACTAGAGAGATCAGTTCCCCGGGAGAAAATGGATGCTTTGGAGGCACTGTACCCCACTGAGGTCCCTGTCCTCCCCAGGCTCCACCCCCAAATCTCAAGGCATTTTCCTACCTGGAGCTGGCAGCCCTACCCCCCATCCCCCACTGGTGGCCGGGGGACCTGGCAACCCTAATTGAAAGTGACCCCTACTGAACATAAGAGAAGCCAATGCTGGATCAGGCCAATGGCCCATCCAGCCCAACACTCTGTCACACAGTAGCCAAAAATACCAGGTGACATCAGGAAGTCCAGCAGTGGTGCCAGGACACTAGAAGCTCTCCCACTGTTGCCCCCCCCCCAAGCACCAAGAATACAGAGCATCCCTTGCCCCAGAGTTCCTATCTGCTGGACTGCCTTTATCTAGAGATGGATGCTCACTCTCTATTTGGGTTTCAGATCCACTGGCGAATGAACTGCATGCAACACCCACAAATACTGGGGGGGGGGGAGAGTTAATTTTTCTCCACACTCAAAATTGTTCCAAACTGTTAGCACAAGAAGTGTTGTGGATGCATGTTCTTATACCTGTTACCCAGTAGCTCTCCCCTTTTCCCCTGCATGCCAAATTCATATGGTTGTTAATGGTGCTGCCAAAGTGCAGGTGCATGGGGGAGAAGAACTGCATGGCTTGCAGTTTGAAGCACGAGCCACTATTATGAATGCCACAAATGGATAAATATCACTGACTGCATGGGCATACAAGGAATACACACACACACTTTCTAGTACAGTTGATACTGAATAATCCATGCCTTCCCACAATGATCCTGGGGTATACATAATCCAAGTATGCCAGCAAACTGTGGGCATGCACCAATAGTGGCTACCTGGCCAGCCATCATGTTCAAGCCATGCAATATAGTTGGTTTAAAATTGTGAGCAAATCATTTATGTAACTTAGTATAGTGTTCACCTTAAGAGAAACTGGCCTTTTGAGAAAATGTTTTGCAAATATCAAATCATCCCTGCTTTTCGTCCCAATATGGAAAAAGTCTGGCAAAGTATGGAGCTAAAACCATCAGTGGGGTAGGTTTTCATGGAAATAGCACAGTGTGTGCAGTGGTGTGTGTGAGAGTGAACTAAAAGAACCTCTTCCCAGTGTTACAATACCAATCCATAGGGCCTCTCCCAAGATTGAGGTTAAATTACACACTGGAGGATACAACTGCAAAGCCACAATGTCACATGTCATTCAGCTGTCAGATATGATACTACATTTGTATTTTTTCTAACCAACACATAACCGTGACTACAGTGATCATATTGGTATTACTACAGATAGTTTGTTACATGTGTTACAGAAATTGTTATTTATTTCACCACTGTAATAGCATAGTTTCCAAAAATCAACATACATTAAAATTCAGCAAAAAAAAGAATATAAAACAAGATGGGGCAAGTAAAAAGAGGAAAGAGAAATAAAACAGAGGGGGATCAGAAATTGAATAGGGAGGTGAGGAAATACGGCAGGAAAAAAGGTAAACTATGCATCTCATGTAAACAGGTAACATTACTGATGCCTAGACTATTGTTTATCTGCAAGATGTTCAATGAAGAGCAATAAAGGTGGACATGCAGTTAATATAAAGACAAAGACATGGACATTTGGTCCCCATTTATAAATAAGCATGCTCTTGATCCTGTCACTTGTACATCCTATTCTCTCAAATAGCAATACCTTAAACTGGATGATGAAAATGTGGATTTCCTGATTTTACTTTATCGTTTGAAGCTCTTTGGTCAACCAATTAATATGATTCCTGCCAGCAAACTAATTCCCCATTCAACCCATCCTTTTATCCTGCTCAAGAGTGTTCCTGAAATGTGTGCCTTTTAAAAACTCCTCTAAGTTACCAGTAAGTATGTGCACTATATTAAACTGCTGCAAAGAACAAACAATCCTGATGTGATCTGTATGTACACCTTATCAAAGATTCTTTTTATGTGGTGTTTTACCGGTGCGTATCTGTAAAAGCCAACACGAAAAGACTCTGGAGGAACTCAAATGTATGATCACATTAATGTTTGTTCATTTGTGGTAAAAAGCACACTGCACCCGTTCCGATTTCAGAATTAATGGGAGAAGGTCTACCTTTGTTGAAATGAAGAAGAACAACAACTCAGGACACAGCAGACTTCCAAAATAGTACAGAGACAAAACCTGCTTATAGTCAGTTGTTATCAATCCATTACCCTTTCTTGGTAAAGCTCCTAAGCTTAGTCTGTGTTTGTGTGTGTTTAAAGTGCCATCAAGTCGCAGCTGACTTATGATGACCCCGTAGGGTTTCCAAGGCAAGAGACTAATGGAGGTGGCTTGCCATTGCCTGCCTCTGCATAGCAGCCCTGGGATTCCTTGGAGATCTCCCATCCAAATACTAACCAGGGCCGACTCTGATTAGCTTTCAAGATCCAACAACATTGCGCTAGCCTGGGCTATCCAGTCAGGGCATGCTTAGTCTAGCCATTGATCCACCAAAAGAAGGCCAGTTTGGTGTAGTGGTTAAGTGCGCGGACTCTAATCTGGGAGAACCGGGTTTAATTCCCCACTCCTCCACTCGCACCTGGCTGGATGACCTTGGACAAGCCATAGTCCTGTCAGAGCTGTTCTTGAAAAAGAGCAGTTTCTGTCAGAGCTCTCTCAGCCCCACCTACCTCACAGGGTGTCTGTTGTGGGGAGGGGAGGGGAAAGGAGTTTGGAAGCCGCTCTGAGACACCTCCGGGTAGTGAAGGGTGGGGTATAAATCCAATCTCTTCTCTTCTTCTTCTTCTGTCATTATATTAAAGATACTCGAACCCTTGGATGTTTGTTAACGACTCTAAATATTTTCTTATTGCAAGTAAACGTTCCTGCATGCCATATGGTGTTGATGGCTTTTGTCTATCAGCATGTTCAATTAAACCTTTACTCCAGTAGGAAATTAACTTTAGCTTTCCACATGATCCCCATGAGAAGGGTGTTATAACTGGCCCCAAGTCTCAGGATTCCTTGACGGCGACCTCCTCAAACTACCAGGTCGCAGTTTACTTAAAAGGCATGTCCTAAGCTACCTGCAGGGTCTTCTGTCTTCAGCTGTGCCTGACGGACCACGCTGCTGTAATTGGATTCTGTTAGTCTGACACTGGGTCAGGCTTGAGTTTTGCTCTCCAAGGTTGAAAGAGTAATTACTACTGGAAACAAATCTATAAGCGTTACTTTGGTATCTTAGACGCCTGCTATATCCTGGATTGATAGCCGGTGACTCTTGGTGCAATAAGAGAATGCTCACCATTAGTAGGGCAATAAAGATACCTCTGTGTAATATTTCAAAGAAATGATACCACTGCCATCTCTTGCAGTTTCTGAAAATGCTAAAGACCACTGCTGTCTGCTGACGGACTCTGTTTAAGAGGCCTCCACCCACAGGTGAAAGTAAACTGATGACATACAGTTTCTCCAGGAAAACTTGTATGGAAATTGACAAACACTTAAGGCACACACATAAGGTAAACGGACACTAAGATCTGGGAAACAGCACACTTAAATTTGGGAAACAGCGCGCGTGCACACACACACACAGAGAGAGAGAGAGAGAGAGAGAGAGAGAGAGAGAGAGAGAGAGAGAGAGAGAGATGTTGCTATTTAATTGCACAGTCGAGTCCGACTCTTCGCGACCCGATGGACCACATCACGACAGGCCCTCCTGTCCTCCATCGTTTCCAGAGTGTGCTCAACTTCATGTTTGTTGCATCGATAACACTGTCTAACCATCTCGTCCTTTGCCGTCCCCTTTCTTCTTTGACCTTCAATCTTTCCCAGCATCAGGGTCTTCTCCAGTGAGTGCTCCCTTCTCATTTGGTGGCTAAAGTATTTGAGCTTCAGCTTCAGTATCTGGCCTTCTAGGGAACAGTCAGGGTTGATTTCTTTTAGGATTGACAGATTTGATCTCCTTGCAGTCCAAGGGACTCTCAAGAGTCTTCTCCAGCACCATAATTCGAAAGCATCTATTCTTCGGCGCTCGGCCTTTCTTATGGTCCAACTCTCATAGCCATACCGTACTACTAGGAATACTATTGCTTTGACCATTCGGACTTTTGTTGGCAGGGTGATATCTCTACTTTTTATTATGCTGTCTAGGTTTGCCATCGCTTTCCTCTCAAGGAGCAGGCGTCTTTTAATTTCACGGCTGCAGTCACTGTCTGCAGTGATCTTGGATCCCAGGAACGTGAATTCTGTCATTGCTCCCATGACTTCCCCCTCTATTTGCCAAGGAGTGATCGGTCAGATGCCATGATCTTAGTTTTTTTGATGTTGAGTTTCAAGCCAACTTTTGTGCTCTCCTCTTTTATCCTGAGCAAGAGGCTCTTTAGGTCCTCTTCACTTTCTGCCATTAGAGTGGTATCATCTGCATATCTGAGGTTGTTGATGTTTTCCCCGGCATTCTTAATTCCAGATTGTGATTCATCCAGGCTGGCATTTCGCATGATGTACTCTGCACATAAATTAAACACACAGAGTACACTTCCCTAATCCAACCCCTCCCTGCATTGACTGTGTGTCTCAAACCACCTGTAAAATATTATCTTGGTCCTAGGGTATGTTTGAAAGGCATGTGATGCAGCAACTCTTGCTAAAGGTATGCAGGTACAAAGCTGGATGGGAGAAGTCCTGGGAACCCATGTACACCAGCTTGAGGTCCACAACAGAAGAACAGCAGGACATATAGACAATAATATATACAGTCCTTTACTTGGGAAACTCACCATATCTGTATCCGAAACTGGCCCAAAACTGGTCACATAGATGTTTGTGAAGACTTCAGTTGTACTGTCTGGCGTAAGAAAAGAAAAACAAAGTGTGAGGACATGCTTTTCCTCCCTTTTGCGCTGCCAGAGGTTCTGAAGCATCTTCTTACTAAGCAGAACAAAGTTTGAGTTCTGCTGTACCCTTAAGATCAACAAAGTTTTATTCAAGGCATAAGCTTTTGCGCACAATCTCACTTCTTCGGATACAATGAAATGGAAATTACCAGTCCATGCTTATAGGTAGAGGGTGAGCAGTAAATTATCATACATTATAATGAATCTGTTAAACATCTTGTACTGCTTGATAATTTACTGCTCACCCTCTACCTATAAGCATGGACTGGTAATTTCCATTTCATTGTATCTGAAGAAGTGTGATTGTGAACAAAAGCTTATCCCTTGAATAAAAGTTTGTTGGTCTTAAAGGTGCCACCGGACTCAAACGTTGTTCTGCTGCTTCAGACCAACATGGCTACCCACCTTCAAGTATAACATGAATAATTGTTGTTACCACTATATAGGCAACTTGTTAAGTATGGACGACCACTTTAGTTACACATCATTACTGGGGACTCAGTTAAATTCCTTGTCATTTGTGCTGCAGACAACGTAGCTGGAATATCACTTTGCATGAACATGGTAAATGCAAAATCTGCACCTGGATATATGTCATGTTTACAGCTGGATATTGCTATGCTATGCCTTTTACTCTAAATGTGAAACGTAGAGCATTATGCCTTCCAACACGTCACAGATGAAAATGAGGGCACTGATCTGCAGGAGTGGACAGCACTGTGGGAGAGCCTGTCAGACAATGGTGGTGTCGACTCAACAGAGACTCAGGCTGAAAGCAGGCAATAAACTGCAAGCAAGCAGGTGGGTCCAAATGACAAAAGCAGCAAGACAAGTCAAATGCTTACATTATATATGCCCAACAGATATGCATTTATTCCATCTGGGGGACGTTGGTCAACTAAGGAACCCTGAGGCCCAGCAATAAGTGACTCGTCCCACATCAGTCCCTTGGCACAGAATTCTTAAGCAGAAAGGATGGTTAAAAAATAATAAAGACAGGACCTTTAAGCAAGTGCAGAGTGCTTTTCTCTTACCACTGAATTAAAGTCTCCCCACACATAGGGCTTGCAGGACGATGGCATACCACAAACAGTGACTGAAGCCTCAGCATCCCTTTGTTTAGAAGTACTGACCACCAACAGTAAACTGGAAACCATATTCTGTTTCCCTCTAACAAGAACACACATGTTGTCGTCCCCCCCCCCATCCACAGCAACGAATACAAGAGCATAAATATTCCTCCTCCTTCTTGTTATGTTTCTTTGCATGTCTTAGGAAGCAAATCCTAAGCAGGTCTATTCAGAAGTAAGTCTCATTTTATTCAGTGGGGCTTACTCCCAGGAAAGTCACATATATGCAGCCTAACCTACCTCACTGGGTTGTTGTAAGGATGGAAATGAGAGGAGAACTAAGTAAGGCATATTGATCCCCACTGAGGGGAAAGGCAAAGTATAAATGAAGTAAATAAGTAAATAAATAATATACTTATGTGATTAACAATTATAGAGTTGTACTTCTATGTCATCACAATCTGGGCAACAGAATAGTATATCTACCAGCCAGGGAAGAAACTATTTATATTTATTCTATGCTTTAGCTATTTCTATGTTGTAATCTGCTCTGAGCCCCACAATCGTGGGGGACAGCAGAATAGAAACTGAATCAATCAATCAATCAATCAATCACAGAATGCAATCCTAAATGGGTCTACGCTGGATCCTGCTCAGGTCTGTTTGATGGTGTTTAGTCCCAGGGAAGTATTCTTAGGACTGTACTGGTAGACACCTTGTGACGACCCCTTAACTGGGGAGGTCTGGTTTCCCTTTAAAGTGTTCTTTTTATTTTGTTTTACTGTGTATATCCGGCTGCCACCAGGAAATTTAAGGCTTTCCAAACCTTTATACTATAATATTTCTATCACTGGGTAGGTAGGTCGAGGTTGATATAATTCGTAAATAACAGGATAGTACTCTGTATCTATGAATGGGTAAATACTGAACAATTCCAACTGGTTTTTCTCATACTGTCAGGGATTTTGGCATGTAACTTTGTAACACTTTTTTCCTTAGACCATATATGTTTACTGTTTCTTTTTATCCTGTCACTCAGACTTTTTATTTTTCTCTTTAACTTTACTTTCTTCTTTCATATACATTCAACTCTTCTTCATACACAGAACTAATTCCTATATCATCCACAAGACAGCTTCTCTCTCCAACTTCAGAACTAACTCTCACTAACTGTTTTTCTGTCATCCTCAACTGTCAAACCTGTCACTCCTGAAAGACATAACCATTCATCCACTCAGAAACACTTTCTAAAACCCCTCCCCTCTCTCTGTCAATCACCAATCACACCACACTTGTCTCTTCAAACACTCTAGACTAATCTAACATGCAACCAAACTTTTAAAGAGACACACACACATAAACAAGGAATCGTTACACACCTATATAGAGCAGGGGGGGGTACTTGCTTTAAAACTGGAACATATAGGAGGCTGGGGTTTCCCCAAGGACAGGGCTCTGAACATTAGAGCTGCCCTAGCTGGACTGGGAAAACCGAAGGGTAAGAAGCATGACTTACAGAAAATCAAGTAGCCTAGAAATCCACCACAGTTTATGCTTCTGAGCTTTTTGGGTATATATTTAGTATACACTTATCCTTGGAACAATGAAAACTAAATACTAGGCACCATCCCTAAATCTACAGGAATTTTCTAACCTGGAGGTGGCAACCATATCTCCTTCCCAGGCAACAGCCAACCTAACTGTATTTGCCCTTCTGTCTTAAGCTCCCCCCCCCCCTGGACAGCCTATGCCTAGGGAAACTGTTTCCTGTGCCCTCCTCTCCTTCCCAGCCATTCACCAGTCTTCATTTTATCTGCCTCCCATCTCCAGCTATATTATTTATTTACTTCATTTATACTTCTCCTTTCTCCACTGTGGGGACCAAAGCAGCTTACACTATTCTCCTCTCCTCCTTTTTATCTACACAACAAACTGGTGGGGTAGGTTAACCTGAAAATATGTGACTGGTCCAAATCACCCAGTGAGCTTCTACAAGATGGGGATTTGAAGCTCTAACCTCCACACTAAACTGGCTCTCATAGGGTGTTGGACAGTAGCAAGCAGCCAGGCCTCGATGAGTCATGCAAGTCGGGTGGTATCAAGTCACCCAGAGGCTGCTGCCAGGCCTAGAGTTGCCAGCCTCCAGGCAGGACCTGGAGATCTTCCAGAATTACAACAGCCCAGATCTGTCGCCCTGGAGAAAATGACTGGTTTGGAAGGTGGACTCTATGGCATTATAGCCAGCTGAGGACTCTTTCCTCCCCAAACCCTGCCTTCCTCCACTACAAAATCTCCAGGAACTTTCCAATCTGGAGCTGTCAACCCTACTCAGGCCTAGCCCTAAGGCGTCCTCCCTCAAAGGGCAGAATAGGCCAAAAAAGGGCCCTGCCTCGTCCCCCTGCCTTTTACTAAGAAAAGCCCAGCTTGGAATACTGTCGTTGCCTAGCAACAGCCACTTGAGGGAATCTGTTGTTAAAGCTACAGGTGCTCCTTTTATCATTTTTGGCTTTTTTAAAACTCTCCAATGTATTTTTTTTTTACATTTCACATTTTTTCTGCAAACCTGGGATCCTTTTCAGCTTTGTAGAAAGACCCGTCCTGCCCATTCACAGCTCCAGCCACAGATTTAAGTATCCAAATATTGGCCGCCTTCGCTATTACAATACAAGATGTGGAGTTCTGCAAGCCACAAACTTTCTACACTTCAGATTACAACAGGAGAATTCCAGCGTTTATCTCCCTCTCCGTTATTCCCATCCAATGAACACCAACATAACTTCAAAGCCTTTTAGACATACTACAATTCTAAAAACAAAATAGACCTATTCTTCCCATTGTTACTGTCAATGGGTATAATTCAAGCAAAAAAAGACATGATAATCTCTACAGTACTCGCATCATGTTACAAATAAGGGTAGTATTTTCTAAACCAGCAGTTCTCAAAACTTTACATGCTATACTTTGTGTACAAATTTAAGTATCATTTCCACAAGAAGCTATTGACCCAAAACAGGAACATCAGGTTTGTGTGTATGTGTGTTTTCAGTGTCTGAGGTTTCTCAAGCATTATTCAAGAAAGAGATAAAAAGAGTAATTGTATTCTTATTTGTTGTTGTTGTTCAGTCGCACAGTCAAGTCCAACTGTTCGCAACCCCATGGACCAGATCATGCCAGGCCTTCCGGTCTTCCGCCGTCCTCTGAAGTTTGCTCAACTTCATGTTCGTTGCATCTTCATTGATTTCTTTTAGGATTGACTGATTTGATCTTCTTGCAGTCCAAGGGACTCTCAAGAGTCTTCTCCAGCACCATAGTTCAAAAGAATCTATTCTTCGGCGCTCGGCCTACCGTATAGTCCAACTCTCGCAGCCATACATGACTACTGGGAATACCATTGCTTTGACCATGCAGACTTTTGTTGGCAGGGTGATGTCTCTACGTTTTATCATGCTGTTTAGGTTCTTATAACTAATGTCAATTATTATATATGAAAGTTACAAACTAAGTTCCCCCCCCCTTAATTACAGCAACATAAGGAACTTTAAGGTTCAGATAGTACCTCTAGACATGTGAATTGAGTTGCCCCAGATAACATCTCTCAAGTGAAGACATTCTAATGCCTGCAAGCATTGTGTGATCTATTTGTGGCAAGGGAATTGGAGGATATGTTACTCATCTGATACTTGCAAAGATCCATGGATATATATTCAGGTAGACAATTACATGAAGAAAAGTAAAATTATGAATACTTCAGAATGTGGCTGAAGTAAAGTACTGTCACAAAAAAAGATAGGAAATTCTGTCTGGTTGAACACTGAACACATACGTTCTCGTAAGAATAAGCTACCAGTAAAGAAACTACCATGTATATATTTTCTTTACAC